GCTAAGATAATGTGGATTCTAAATATATAGGTATATTTATAGATAATATCTAGTTGAGCAGAGAGAGATAAGAAAACAACAACGACAGTATAAACGCGCCGCTTGAATATATTGCTATCGAGCACGTGCTTCTCTTCCATTCTATTAAAATTATTGCGATAATTTATACGAGCAAAGGGAAGTGTGTTGCGTGTACGTGAATATTTTTTATTCTCTGATGACTTTTACTCGTCCCGTATTTTAATTCACATATAAACTAAGTTATAACAATCTGACCATTAAATTATACATTTGAGTATAATAATAGAAATGAGCCTTAGATATATTTTAGAGGATTTACATGGAGTAACATTTACGTATTATATGATACGGAAAATATAAAGTCATGAGTTTATGCAATTGTCAGAACTCGTGTTACCTCACGATGTAAATATGCATCCCATTATCTTTTTCAATCGTAATATCTGTTCTCGATATATCAGATCTCGATGTGACACTTGCGTGGCACCTCTACAGCTGACCATGTTCTAGTACATTAAAAACACTATTAACAATACGTTCTGTAGTAAAAGTTAATAGAGAATAGTATAACATCAAATAGAAGAGTATAAAGAATCATGCTGGTGTATAGAGATAGACATTAAAGTAGGTAATAGGTAAGAGGACGATAGATTACGATATTAATAATTATATTAATAATCCGTAATAACTTTTTTCACTTATTAAGAGTAATTTTGCATAAACGTTGATGATCATTTAGTAGACTTTTTTCTCTTTAATACAATATTTTGAGCACATTCCTCAGGTGTATAACCACGCTACACTTTCTTCATCGAGTTGTACCAATATATTCCACAACTTATTAAACTCCACCAGTACTAAATTATTTAACGATTATCAAGAGCTTTGTCAACGTACGAATCATGGCGTGCATTGAACATTCTGTAGAAAATATTGCGCGAAATTTACTTAAAAACAACAGAATAAGTACTACAATAGTCACTATATAATAGTAATTATCTAAATAATTAATAAATTATCGATAATAATGAAACTAACTTAATATATCAAAAACATCACTAACAATTCTGCAACTATATGCTAGGAAACGATGATACGTCTATAAGTATTTGTTGCCGAAAAAAATGTCTAACTTTCTTTTTGTATATATTGCTCGATTATTAAGTGCTTTTCTTCCCTCCAATCCAATTGTCCCAATTATTTTACGCGTGTATGAATTTGCAATATGATTTACAACTGCGAATGCGGGAATCAATAAACGTTTTAATCATCAATACAGTATCAAATATTAGTACAGTAATATAATAAAAGGTAGTCGTCTATAATAAAAAATAAGCACGAAATCAATAATCATGATTAATGTCTTTTGTCAGCTTGTTATGGGATTTCGAAAATAAACGTAAATAAATATTTCAACAAATTAAACATGTGATGTCGGCACATATCTAGACATGTTGTGACATCAACTTAAACAGGAGTAATATAATAATAACAGAACGGTAATTTTCAATGTGAATAAACTGCTCATACAATAAAATGTAAAATATGAAACAACAAAACTTCGTTTAATATTTGTCGATGAGTGCAAAATGCTCCATTTGCACAGCCATTAAGTTAAGTGTTAGTTGGTAACTTCAAGTTAATCGTCTAATCACATACACGTACGAGAGCACAAAAAACAAAAATGATATAGTATAGATTTGTCGATGATTAGTTCAGATCCATTCACTCGATGTCATCGCTATTCGATTTATGGCAGTACAATATCGGTACAACTCACTAGTTGATGGCACGGGTCCGCCTATGTACAAATATGTAATACCATATACCACATATCATTTAAATACATCACATAGTTATCATTTTGTTATATATATATTCTTCATATAGATATATCATTTTTTCTGTGACGTGGAGGGACTCGTTTGTACAATTCATGCATTTCTTCGTTACTGTTTCATTGCTTCGTTTCATGCCTTTCCCACATTCTGAGTAAGTAGCCTCCAGTACTGTGTTTTGTATTGCTACTGTTCTAAATCCAGAATATTGGTTGTTTTAACATAAAAAAAAGTATCTGTCAAACTTATAAAACTCTTATATAAGTTTTTATTTTATAAAATTTATTGTGTACAGACTTGGAATTCACTTTCGAATTTTGACAAAACAAATTATTTAGTCTGTAAAAAAACTTATTGCTGCAATTATTAGATATCTTCTGGATTTGGTCAGCCAATACATCTCTTTGTTTTATTACTACCTATGATCTTTCTCTTGAAGCTCTAAGTCTGATTAAGAGTTAGATTACATACAATAATAATTATATTAGTAGAAACTTAGTTTCTGTAACAAGTGTATTGTCTTAAATGATATGTCTGCTAATTTTGTTGTATTCGACCTATGCACCGAGCCTATGGTCGGAATTCATAACAATTTTATTCCTTAAATAAACTAACTTTAAGATTCGAAATTCTAGAATCTTATAGTATAGTATATCGATCTCTAATACTACACTTTTATTCTTGTACTGGAAGCCATTACTCAGCCGTTACAGAATCATTTAGTTTGGATTACAAAAGAGTATTTCCATGGGCTTAAAAATTATTACAACATAAGCATTTACAAATATAATATCATGAATATATCGGAAGAATTAAAATGCATATAACATTTTTTTAATTATTACGAAAATATTTAATAAAATTGTCCTCTCATATTGTACATAATTATTATAGGCCGATAAATTTAGCAAAGATGACAATTTTAAATCTCGAATAATATTATGTGAATATTAAATTAGTGCCCTTGGTGATACCCCCTTATATTAATCTCTTGTCTGTAAATAAATAGATAATGTAGATGTGGCCGGAATATTTGATGTTTAGTTTGCATTACATTTTTGTAAATCGGGGAGGAGATTAATGAAATACACACGTAAAGATAGAATAAACACTAAAGTACAGAGTTCTGAATATCTAATGTCTTAAGAGAAAGATATTTCCCATTTCCGACAATTAGACTTTCATTTACAATCATTTTTAAAATAAATGGAAGATTTAGAGCCGTTTTTATTTATAAAGACTTGGCAGACTTTTTTAAAGTGTTCTCAGTCACTTGCATTTACTTGAGAAAAGTTTCAAAAGTTAAAGTATACATTGTGTGTGTGTATGTGTGTGCGCGATCATTCAATGACAAAAGTTAATAAGAAGAAGAATGTTAACAATAACAATGTCCTCAAGATAGAATCAGAGCATCTACGATTGGCAATTCTCTTGAATAACAATTTAGAGTTTCAATATAAATGAAACTTGATATATAAATATATTTTAATCTTTATAAAATTTAGTACACATTTTTATTATATTTATCGTAATAAAATGCACGCTATTTTTGTTCTAAATGTACTGAATGATTGTGAGGGATGTTCCTATATATATATAAATACATGAACACAACTAAAGATAAACTATCTGAAATAAAATAGCTAAGCGTGCCTGAAAATCGGAAGACGTAAATTGTGAAATCTTTATCAGAGTATATTATATTTTTCACAAAGAACAGATAAATATCGGCTTTTCAAAGTTTATATGTATTATTTTTATTTTTTTGTTTTTAATTTTATGTTGGTTTAATAAAAAAAATAACGTTAATTGGGGGAATTTTAATTCAATGCGTTTAATGCAATGCATCACATCGAGGTATATCAGAGAAAAGTAAATCTTTTTGATTGCTTAAGGCACCTTACATATAGGAACATCATTATAACAACTTTTGAACGGGAAATAAAAATTCATAAAGATTGTGGAAACATGCGACCAGTCATTGTTTTTACAAGAGCCTCGCCACGTAGCCTCTAGTAGGTAGAAAATGAAGCCAAGTATATATATTTTTCTTTATATATATATGTATATAGATCCCTCCTAAAACAACCTAAAACCTAGCCTACTTATTTTGCATAGAGTTCATTTTAATTGTACATACAGACATTGATGTTATATATGTACAAACATATACATCTTATGTACATATAGCTATTTTAATGATCATTGAAGTCGAATATTATTTAATAAACGTACTCTATTTTCTCTGTATTTGTGTGTTAGGCGTATGTATAATATGTATGTATGAGCGTATGTATAATCATTATTTTACATTCAGTATCGGCGACGCAGGGAACGCCTCTGAAGTGAAACTTGAACAACGTCCTTCCTAGAGAATTATTTGCCTAAGTTAAAACGAGTTCTTTTCAATTACATCAATTTGTGTTTATACATATTTATATTTATATATATTTATATTCATATATCGTATATATTAAAATTTTTATTCAATTGTATACTATTAATCTACTAAGTAACAGAGGTAAAGAAATTAAGGAGTTTCAACAAATCTACGTACGCGTGATATAAGACCCACTTATTTTCATCAAATTTTAGATATGCTAATGATATTTAAACTAAATGTAACTAGAGTAAACGTGCAACAAGTTGTTACATTACAATCCAGGATCTGTTTACCAACGAAAAAGCAATTTATCTCATTATTTTATCGGTATTTATTCAAATTAAATATATTAATGTTGAATGCATAATTTTTATTCAAATAAAATATTAATGATGTTCCATTATTTTAAGTGATTATAAAATTTGTAAATTAAAACAAACGAAAGACTTCTTAACAAAATAATAATACCGCATGTAAACTGATCCCGGTTGTAATGGAAAGAGAAAACAACTTAAAACATTTTTTTTTAAATTGCGGAAGGGCAACAGGTAACAGTAATGTCTTGTGGCACAATCTGGGAACATTTCACGTGCATAATAAATAGGTACACTGAAATCGCGTTTAATCATTAGAGCGCTTATTATAGGTGCACGTCAATCCTTTTCAGTTTTGTTGATTTAGCACTCATTGTTACGAACATACGTTTTCTTATCAAGTTGTGTTTGATTTTTTTAGGCAATGTTAAACGATCGCTTACCTTTTTTTTTTCAACAAAACGCAAAGTCTGTAAATTTGCTTCATCTTTCAATGACACTGACCGTTTTTTTCTTACACTGATGCCGACATCTCGTCTTCCACGCTAAGGAAGATGTTTACGATCGGTACCCTGTCTCCTTGTTGAACAGAGCTCGAATTATGATTGCATAATTAAATACCTTCTATCGCTGCGCCATTAAACCCTACGAGTTCTACAACTCCTCGTACTTAGTTGCCATTTACGATAGATGTTGTCTTTTTCTTTTTTCCTGAACGGCCGATTACGATACATATGAGTCTCATAAAACCATTTAGTTCATCTGACTGGACAAAAGTACCAGTCACGCTCACTTGTACAGTTTCGCATATAGCGGGAGATATTTGCGTTTTTTTTTCGAAACTATCTATCTTGGAAGTACTCACACAACCTGCCTCATTGTAAGCAAAGGTCTCGTAAAAAGATATTTCCACAACGTAATGATTGTGCGATGATCGCGATCGTTTAGAGCCTGGTTTATGTACCATGCGCGATCATATTACTTTCCTACAGTACCGTTACAGCCTTCGTTAAGGTAGCTTAAGTTTAATTACTTGAATCCTGTCCTATGGGGGCCTCGTAGGATTATGACATAAATGTGCTGTATTTTTGGCGCTGTTGTCGCTGATACTCGCGGGCAGTTGTTGTTGATGATCTTGAGCTTGCGGCGTAGCATTGTCAGGCTGTTGCTGCTGTTGTTGGCTTTGCTGCGATGGCATTGGCTGCTGCAGCTGTTGCGCTTTCGACGGTTGTTGTGTGGATCGCTTAGATTCCTGACCCGTTGAATCGGGTAAGGGTATTGGCCTGTGGGATTTCATGTGCGCGCTTCTGCTTTTTACTTTGTTGAAAACTCTAGAAAAAAAATAATTTGGACATCAAATAAGTTGCCGCTTATATATATATATATATATATTAGAGAGATTGAACGAAACGTGAACGAAATCTAATATTGCGAAGTCTACACGCATAAACACGTTCCCGGTTGTAATTGTTATGCGATTCACGTGTTAATAATTCATACGAAATGCAAATATACGTAGAAATGATTGAAATTTAAGTACACATTCAGAAATATTTTTGCAAGCATTGGATTGTCTTAATTCAGACACTCATAGTGTACAGTTTAGTAAGTTTACAAATATTTAACACACAACGTAAGAAGTCGGAAATATCGACATAGCAACAGCAGTCTAACAAATCATGCTTGCGTTATGCATTTGATTTTAATTATATATAACATACATATAGCCGATTTATACATATATTTTTATTGGAAAGTGAGACATAGAGAAATACAATTGGAAGAATATAGGCAGCAAATTAAAATATTGATAGAATATAAGAATGTGTGCCAGGCATATTTAACAGAAAATTAAATGATTAATCAAAAATCGCCAATGGCAAAAATCGCCAATGGCAAAAAACAGATTAAAAATGTTCTTAAATATCTTAATTGAATTCAGCAGTAAATCAAACAAAATTAATAACGGAGTATACTTAATAAATATCGTTGTCATATTTATTTATTAACTATATTAAGTTTTTTAGTAAATCGTGATGTATATCGTGAATGGCGTTTGTGTATATAGTTTCTAAAAATGTATCAATATGTAGTTTATCAAGAAAAAAAATCAGTTTTATTACATAAGTTATATACAGGGTTGATTCTATTTTTCAAAGTATTCAAAGATGCTGTTCAATTATATGTTTTCAATTTATGTTTTCAAAATATGTATTTTGTTGCATTAACTAACTCAAAATAGTTTTTAGTTTTTTATTTTTATTGTTACGAATCATTTGACGAAATATATACACGTGGTATATGTATGAAATTTTGAAACTATATAACTAGCATCAGTTCACTATATTCATTTTTAGATCATATGCATTCTGTCTCTCTATAAGCAAGGATCTCTATGTGAAATGCGCCAATACTTGCCGCTTACATTGCCGTTAGAGCACGAGCTCCGCCGTCAATTATTGGAAATGGATAATTTAGATTAGAGATTGGAGACTTACTTCCCGCAAATCTTGCAGGGGTAGTGAAGTGGGGTAGGCACGGGTAGTTGTTGCTCAGAACTAGTGTGAGTTTGTGAGTTGGTGTTGACTGTGGCGTGGCTGGTATTGCCGATTTGGGCGGTTTGGGTGCTTCCGGCCATCGTTACTGTTACACTTCCGCTAAAGCTCTGACAACACAAAGAAAACACAAAGCCAAAATAAACAACACAAACAAACGACACGGCGACGACAGATAAGTAACGCAACGGTCACACAACGCACAACATCCTTGATTCTCTTAAAATGAAGCGTGAGAAAACGACGGATCAGCAATCAATCTCATGCGACACTTAGATATCTTCACACGTATCTACGCGTTTAGATATTTGACACCGAGTACGAAATTGTTAAATAAAATTGATATCAAATAATATTTTACAAAGATAAAAATTATTCTTTTATATTAAAAAGTATAATCGAGATGTAATATATATTTTAAAAAATTCTTCGTACTCGGCATATGTGAAGAAATAGGATATGCAGTGAGCAGCAGACATAAAAATAACTTATGTGAATGTATATTTTTCTCTGAATCAGTTGATTTGTTTTATAATATACTATTAAAATATATCACAGCAATGTGTATTGCCTAATTGAGATTTAAATTTATTCTTAAGTTAACTTTAGTTTGACTTTAAATAATTATTATCAGGAGTTAGATATGTGGTTCTCGTGTAATTAATTGTAAGAACAATTGTACATGAGATGTTTGTATAATAAGAAGTATAATTACTTACATCTGTACAGTCGTATGCGAATAACCTCAGCTCTCCTTCGCTAGTGGTTAGAGTCGCCGAATTTTCTCTTCCGCTTGATTGTAACTAAATAAACCAAAAAATAAAGAATATGTTTTCATATTCACATTTACGCGTTTATGTAATTTAGTATTAGTATTGCATTGTTAAACTCAAAAGCGATTAAATATGTTTAAGCTTACCAGTGTACGATGAAGGATCGATTTGTCTTCATTAAAGTCCATTTCCGATACGGACGCGATGGCGTCGCGTAACTCTTTGGTATCTTTGCTGTCTTTAATTTCGCTCTTGATCTTCGCTTTTCCATGGCAAATACGCAGACTCTTGTACTCGTCAGGACAGAGCCTCTTCCAAAGGTAGTAGAACTGCACGCATTGTTTCGCAGTCTTGGCACCGACATCCCGCGAAATCGCGGAGAAATCCTTGTTGTACTTGAGCAGTCCCTGATAGAACGCGTCCATTTCATGTGACGTCCATCTATCGGATTCGTGGCACTCGTAACTGAGCAGAGGATGCTCCATTGGTAGTATAGGCGTTGGTCGCATCAGTTTCACCATCGCTTCCTGAAATATACATACGTTGAATGTAAATAAGTATCAACAACGGCAATTTCGTTAAAAAAATAATAAGGATTAAAAAGGTTCAGGCAATTTCGATGTTTATAAAATCTATTCTAAAAAATATCTTACATGAATATTCCCTTTGCACATGTGCAACAGATGAAGCGCATATTCCTTGTTCCTACCACCACCCGGCACCGCTGCGCAACACGCGAATTGCAGGTACATCTCCACTGCAAGTAATCGATGTTTGTTATATATTTCGCAATACGCTTTTTTAAGGTATTCACGAAAGAAAAACTTACATTCAGTGTTCGTAAGCACATTGTTTATGCCGGGATCCCATAGAAGATGATCGGCTTCGGGTCCGTCGTTTCCTCTGTCTCCGTCATACTCCACCGGAGGTATCATGGCTTGATATCTCGTGCCGATATTAATTCTTGGCGGTGGACCGTCATTTCCTTGAGAATCGTCTGAGCTAAAGTCCGAGTCTCTCTCGTGTTGATGCAATCTCGCGTACAGCCCCGGACCGGGACGAGATGGGTCTAGGATTGGTGGCGGTGTGTAGCTGCTATCCCAGTGGCGGTCGCAAGCTTTTCGCAAACGCGATGGATAAGAATGTGAACTGCTGGTGTACTGGCCGCTATCCATGCGTGGCCTCTTTCGATAGTGTCGCACAGGGCTGCTGGCGGGTAAACTACCAGGACTGAGAAACACGTCCTCATCTAACATCTCCTGTTTAATCTGATCGATGGGTATCGGTAAATTTCCGGTGACTGTTTTATGTCTCAAGATATTATTTTTCGTCGTGTGATTATTTTGAATAAAAAATTTGGCCGGGTTAACAATTTGCTGTTGATTAAACTGACTCGCGTTGCACTGCTGCTGATTTGTCGTTTGAACGTTTAGGCCGAGATTTACGGTCACGGGTTCGATTTTTGGTGTTGCTAGGCGGATCTCCTTCTTGAATGTCAGCGCAGGACTGAGAGAACCCGCCTGCACGTACACATTCGCCTTCTGCAGACCCGCTGTCTGTATCAGTTTGACGTCGCCGTTGTTGTCAACGACGATACCAGCTACACTGCCGTTTCCAAGACCGAAGTCCATCAAGTTTTGGCTCGTGATGACTTTGTACGATTGGAACTCGAATCGTCTACGACCGGAGGCGGCAAAGTCCTTCGAGGTCGAGGAAAGCAAAGGATCCTCCGAGTTCGGCATCATCTGATTTTGAAGCGCATTATGCGGCGACACGGGAAAGTTCGTGCCCGTAAAGGCAACCGGTCCCGGCGACGAGACAGAGGACGGTGGCAGCGGCGACGGCGCCGATGTCGCCGACAACGGGCTTGGCAGTGGCGAGTGCGGATTTGGCGAACCGGACCCATAAAGGTCCGCATCTGCCTCGGATTCACCCGGTAACACTTCGTTCAACGCCTCCTCTACGGCTGCAGCAGATGACATCGTGGTAGTGTAAAATGCCGCCGAGAGCGGTGATGACACGTGTCTCACGTTCTCCGGATCTTCCTGAGGACTTAATAGCGGCAGGCTTCCGGTGAGCAAGCCTTCCTGGCTGGCCGGTGGCGTTGGATACGTAAAGCTCGGGCTATCGTGCCGCGTTAAAGGCGACGGTAGGGGTGATTGAGTTGGTAACGTATGAGGACTTTCCGTGTATTGCGCGGCGTAAGTACTAAATTCAGCCAGGGAATCGGGTAACGGCGAATTCACCAACGCTTGAAGATCTGGATTGACTGTGTGCTGCGAGGAGTATCTGTCCTCCAGTGTGATATCTTGCAGCTGTTCGGTAGATTGTTCTTGCAACAGATTGGCCGTCTGAAACTGTGGCACGAATATGTACGTTGAAAATAGAAATGTTGCACTCTACACTAAAAAAAAAAACGTACTAAATTTTAATAAATATTTGTTTAAAGAGTACTAATTTAATATTTATTTTCGATAACTAAATATTTATAAAATAAAAAAATATTATTGAGATTCTATATTCGCAAAAATGTGCATTTAATATTAAGCACTAAGATCCACTTTGATCAAAAAGAATTTCTATTAAAAATAATAATTAAATTAAATTAATATTTCTTGTATCACAAAATATATGTTTACATTTAATAAATATTCCGATAGAATTATTCAAAAACAAATATTTATTAAAATGAGTACATTTTCCTCAGTGTATTTTCCACTACGGATGGCACGAAAACATGAATTCTCATAAATAATTTCAAAATGTAATACGTTAGTACAACTCTTTTACACTATTTTTATATTAGCACTCATGATGCAAATCATTTTAAAAAACAGACTTGCTTACCTGAATCGAATCCAAGTGGGTAGCATGTAGGAGTACGCTATCAGGAACCGTTGTAACTTGTTGAAATACTTCGTCCTGCAGACTTGGGCTGAAGTAACCACCGTCCTCAGCGTATCCTGTCATCGTAAAGCTTTCTGTTACCGCAGGTTGTGCTTGTGGCTGCTGATTATTTGGTTGTTGGTTGGTCGTCGCTGATTGTACAGGCTGTTGATAAGTCAAGTGTAATCTTTGTCCCGGATCAGAGATTGTTCTCTTCACAGCCACCTTCGTACCCTACGAGTTATTAACGACACATTATGCGTATTTTTCTAAATGGATGTATTCATTAACGACGTATCACATCGTTAATTAAAAGCTTTTGATATATAATTATTCGAATCTCATTAGAATCAAATGTGAAAAAAAATTTGACATTATACCTTCAGGATCATATCGGCAAGCGCTTGTGCTTGAGCTTGAGTTTTGGATGTTTCCTGCAAGTGTTTCTGTACAGTTGTGTGGCCCACGGTGACATTGGGCTGCCGGAAGTGTTCACCATCAGAAAACCGACGCACCTTTTCCCCCGCCGCCAAAGGCGGCGGAGCCGGAATCGCAAAATTCGTCTTGACGACGGTTTGCGAAACGGCATCGGCTTGCGTGGTGAAAGCGGTAGTACGAGGTTGCTGATTGCCATTCGCGTCCACTGCTAAAAACGTACATATATATTTCCTACTGATCTAATTTGGGCATTTGATTGCATATATCTCTTATCTTGGAAAATTTGACAACTATCAAATAATATTAAATATGCACATGGAAAGGATAATTCGTTGAAGTATCTAAAAATTTAGCTAAGTAGATATAACTTAGAAAATAATTTTGTTGGACCATTAAAATAATTATATTATAGGGCCTCCAAATTAATTGCTAGAATCAAAACTAGATTGCTAGAGTCAAAATTTTTTCTCAAGCATTGTTCAGCATACTTGAGATTTTTATATGTAATTACTTTGATGGCATAAAATTATTTTCAGATCTGTTTCTAGGAAAATTTTTAGATATTTTAGTAATCATATCTTTCCATGCAATTAATAGATTATACAATTATTAAACATTTTTACAGTTAAGCTGCTTATTCGACGATCATTACATTTTGCATAAACAATGAAAAATATTTCGCGCTTGACGGATGAAAATATGCTTTCATTGCGATCACATTTTATCTATTATTAGTTCTTGAAAGGCAGAAGCGCTTTTCTCTATAACGGCTGGCGGTAAACACACGGTGTCTCTATATAGTTTGCTCTCGTGTTTCAGGTCGAGAATAAATATCAGGCGTGAGAGGTGTCTCTGAAGACTTCGTGTTTGCGATCGCGGAAGATGGATTGGTCGGTAAGATATTTTTCCTTTTTACTGAGAACGGCATAGTGCGTATGCGACGCCTCGTGTTTCCGAGCGGAATAAACAGAAAGACGGCGCAGACGACCATGAAACGGAAAGCGGAAAAAGCGGAGGAGAGCTTTCCCGTATGCGTAAACGAGAGTGTATAGCGTGCTCGAAATAAAAGGAATTTTTGTCGCCCTTTTTTCCTCTATTCGCCCTTCACCCGACAATGGCGGCCGCGAATTGGTGCTCTCTTTCAGCCGCAATGCACGCCTGTTCCGCACGTCGACGGTTTTTGTTTTCTCTTTGGTTTTACGTATATATAATTGAAGAGAGGGGAAAAAGAAATAAAGCGTAGAGAGGATTGGCTGAAGCAACAACATACGTCGTACGGTGCACCCCTACGTCCGTGCAATAAAAATTTTTCGGTACGTTGTATCTCTAAAAATAACAATATTTAAATTTCAAAAAAGCGTGCGTGCTGGTACGTCATGGCATATCCTGAGAACGGTGGGTTTGCTGGAATAACTACATTTAAATTTCAAAAAGCGCTCATGCCGTTCCAGTTATAATATATTCCGTAGTCTGACGGACTGACTCAATTTTTACGAAAGCGCACAGATGACAGAGTATTATAACTGAGCAGACATGAAATACATTCAGCCGACATGCCGCGTCGAAAATGTGGGGAAAAAATATTAGTGAGCTTTTCGATCATAATCACTGATCAGGAATATCTGGCGACATGTAAAAGTTCGTGTCTCTTTTCCGCGTGAATATGAAAGAACGCGAATATGATATATATTTTTTAATTAATCAAAAGTATTATGCGAAATTCATATCTTTCTATGGATTTATTTTCCGATTTCGCAATGATAGAAAATTCAATAATTTCTAATAATTTCCGATAAATGAAGGAAAAAGCAAATTTTATATTTTACTTTCGTAAAATATCAGGTATTTTATTTAATTTACTTAGGACCGGTTGTTCCACTTTTTGGTAAATTTTACCTACTAGGTAAATCTGGCAATCCGCTGCGCATGTAATTGGGTAATCTTGCTATTTACCCAACAGATAAAATTTACCAAAAAGTGGAACAACCGGGCCTTAAGACTGCGAAAAGTTAATAGAATATTTTTGCCTTATTTAAACCGAAGTAGAAGAATCGTAACTCTTCTCTTCGCACTTGGCTCCACCGTGCACCGCAATAAATATTCCACCACCGCTGAAATCGCAGCATAGTGAAAAATATATTCTATAGCGTGTACAATCGTTCATGGTAGCCGTACAACTCGACGGAAATAAATGCGTGCATATCCTGGTCGCCGCGGGGGGCAAAAGGAGGAAATGGGATTCGCCGAGTGTACAGCTGTATCACGACGAAACTTTTCCACGACGATTTCATGAATATCTGCCCTTCGTTCTGGCTTCGAGCCGGCTTTTTTAATATTACTTTTTTTTTTACCATTATACCGTGCATCAGTCCATAATATCCTATAGTTTCATCACACGTAGCGTATATAATTAGCTGCCTCAAGTGAATTTTTGTAAGAGTATTATATGAGAATTTTTATACGACCAATGCGCTGCCATAAATATTTTTTATAAATACATAAAAAACATATTACTTTAAATTTTGTCTCAACGCGAATCTTTATAAAATTAAAAACTTAAAAAGATAAATTTTCTCATTTATGAAACAAAGAATATCTATACCTCGAGAGTTTGTAAAAAAACGCAACGCGGATTGTCCGGTTTTATTGATCATCACGTGAAAGGCATTCGAGACTCATACATTTGCATAAACCGCAAATTCCGTGACGTACGTGTGACAGCGTATTGGCACACATTGACGTGAGACCGTGTGATATTTTTACAAATTGCCAATCATCGATCGCGGCGAGGCAAATTGCTTCCAACGAGGCAGTCACGCGGGCCTGTCTCCGGTCTGTCCTATCCGCACTTTGAATGGAAATTGTTGTGGTCGATACAACAGTACCCAGCACCCACTGCGAAAAAGCCGATAGGACAAAGCAAAGATTCGTTTGCGTTGATAACCCGCAAATCTATATAATTTTTAATATGGGCATACATATAAAAAATATATATATATATACATGTACATATATACACGTGTAATACTGTAGTAGTAACACACACTCTTTCATCAAACCAAAATTAAATTCTTTCCCAACAAAAAATTGATTAAATCCAATAACTTTTTGTTTTTTTTTAATCTTGAATTACTTTGATGGACTCGGAAAATTTAAAAATTGCTTATTCATATTTTAAATGTAATAAATAATCTTTAATAAGAAAACATATAATATAATAGTTGAAAAATTGTCGAACGGATTATAATTGAGTAATTATATTGTTCTTGTTGTTGGATATATATGTATATATACGAAGAACGAAATGGAACTATTGAAAAACAATCGTCGTGGAATGTGAGGTCTAATTATTTGTTTGATTTATCGCATGATTGTTATCAGACACGCGTTCTTTGGTGCACGGGGAACATCTGATAGATAATATTTTACTGAGCGCACTAGTGTGAGTGCGTTCCCATCAATGTTTCATTCTCTCTCGTCCTCCTCCCGCCAGCCCTCCAACCCTTTGTCAAAAATGTACGCCAGCGCCGTTGCACCACCGACAACCAAACAACGCACGGTGCAACGCGCATTCCCGATACATCGTCAGCGGTGCATCGCGACTAGCACGCTCCCGCCAGCAAATTATTTATCGATCGATCTTGTTGTGCGGCCACTTTCGAGGCTTTCAAAAAATAATGGCTGAGCCAACCAACGGCCAGGCTAAATGACTGTCAACAATTCCCGGCGTGCCGATGGAAACGACGTTGTGTGTAGATAGCAGTTCCTGTTGTATACTGATTAATAACAGCACGTGATCGAATATTCATAGAATTTTCGAGTCCATCATATGGTAGAATTCCGAAAAGGAGCTTGCCTGTTTATCGTACAGTCGTATAATGTTGCGTGTCCAATGATCGATCTATACTACTTGAAATAGTGCCATTTTCTGTACTTTTTGCTTATTTTTTCACCTCCAGGTAGACACGCGTTCTAGAAATTACTGGTCAAGAGAAAATCATCTCGTTAAAAATCAAATGTAGATTTACACGAAAAATGTTGTACTGCATTAATTTCACTTCTCTCGAATAAATTATATAAAATACACGGAAAGTATATGCTACTCACGTTATTCACTGTTATAAATAACGATGCGCGTTTTGCGTAAGTTTTTCACTACACATATTTCGATGCAGTTTCAAAAAATTGTTTCAAGCTAAATATTGATATAGTTAATTTTCCGTATGAAATCTTTATATATTGAAAAGGAAACAAGCGTAATGATTTATTTTTTCATAACTGTAGATACAAAAATACATTGAAGAATTTCCTAGACAAACCCAAAGCTGAAACAAATCTTGCCGAAACAAACCGCATATATTTTTTTTAAGCTCCAAGAAGCAAAAATTTTGATTACGTTATTCTGTTAGTAAACATAAATAAATATAGACTTTGATGTTGATTTTTTTCTAAAAATTATTTTAGACTTCACAATTAACGATCGGTAATTATCTATACAGGTTTACAAGAATCTGAACGCACGATTAATGATTTTGAACTTATTTTGGGTTTATGGGCATCGAAAAGAGCAACGTAGAAGACGCTGTCCTAATCCGAGTAGCGGATTATCCCTCGCCATTCTTGGCAGATGCCGAGGTGAAATCGCGCATAAATTGCTAACGACGCGCACTTTGTTACAAAAGCATGAGCCTGGTGCCCGCCGGTCCGTTCTGCTACTGCCGTCGGCTTGATTTATCGTACCAACGTGGACAATGCGAGAAATATTCTGGCGTGTTCGCTTCGTAAATCACGGTTCTTCGGCAGTCCATACACCGTACCCCCATAGAGAGGAGGTATCCTCTCCCTCTCGCGAAATATCACGGGGTGGCCCTTCCCGTTCTGGCAAATGTATATGCACGCGTGTGAGGGAGAAATGGATAAACGGGAGGACGACGCAACGGGAGATACACAGTCAATTCGGGATACGCATCCGTAAATCACGCCAGAATCGCATTCGTGGATTCTGTGTTCTCAGCATCGCCCGCCCGAATACTGTATTAATTCTTTTTTCCCCGCGGTTATGACACGTGTATACCTTCGGGATTCTAAACGGAACAATGACGTTGTCGCGGTCACTGCGCCTCTTTTCACCATATTACCTTGAACAATGCATCGCCGACGCGAAACTTTGTTATCGGCGATAACACGATCGATGTGTCATGTCACTGGAGCATTATGAAAAATGCAATAACTTGTAATTGACAAAATTATCGATTGTCCTCTCATTTTGAATTATCTTACCTGTCGTTCTCTTCTGTATGATCTTCTCCTCGATGAGCGCTCTCACGCTGACGGACGCCGTCTGCAGAGGTGGCCCAACGACCTCTTTCTTCTCACTCTTCTTGTTCTCCGCATCCTGCAACACGTAATTAAAAAAAAATGTGTTGTTAAATTAAACAAACAGGTTGTTAGTCCGCGTAATAAAAACTGAATACTACAAGTGTTCTAAATACATAAATTTTCCGCGTTGCTTTCAAATTCTTAAAAATGGATTGGTCATTAATGGAAGAAAAAATTATAATATATAAATATTGATGTATTGGATATTTTATCAACTGATTGCAGTCTAATATAATAAAGCTGGGTCTCATTGGTCGTGTATGGCAATAGGATTTTACCCAGGATCGTCTAGAACTCGTAGTTTAGCTCAAATCCTTGTTGAACCCCCGGCCACGAAGGACTCGTGACGGGAGAACCTGGATTAGAAGCTCAAATCACGGGCAAATTGACGCGCAGGATACTAAGGGAGACGTAGGGAGACTACAATGGTGAATAGGAGAAGCAGGAGGGCGGGAGGGACCGGAGATGCACGCTAATCACTGAGCAAGGCTAATTGAGGCGCCCGTTGGATTATATCGTAATGGAATCTCCGGCGTGTGCGATTCAACATCCTATAATACACCCGGCGTCAAGGAAAGCGCCTAGTTTCTTGATGCTTACGAAGAATCAAATCAGGGTCTAAACTTCGATTCCGAATCGCGAAATCTCAATATACCGTAGTAATAAAATTTATGTATTTTTCATTCTTTATACCTTAATATTTGTGTGTGTGTTGAAGAAATCATTGTTTAATAAATATACGAAAATTTGAGAAAAATTATATTTAAAAAATTTATTAAATTTTAATAAATATTTGTTTGAACTTATGATATATATATAGGACATATATATATATATATATATATATATATATATATATATTTGGAACAAGAATCAATTTGATTCAAATATCACTTTTTTTATTGAGTAAATATTTATAAAAATTTGATAAATTTTTTTTCAGTGTACGAAAAACATTTTTTACTTTATTAAAAATTTTTTCTAATCTTAAAATTCTTTTTATCTTCTCGTATATACGATTATTAATATTTTCTGATACTTATACTTCGATGCCTTATATTCTGTCCATTATCTAAAATTATATTTCCTTTTTCAATGCTTTTATAAAAGCTCTCAATTGCTCAATGCTGCTACATAGCATTTCCAAGACGACCTAATACATTTTTTTTATCCATCTACGTTGTAATATCGATCGACCAATTGAAAGATAAAAAAAAAATGCAATACATTGACGACACAATAGCATCTCGCGGACTTATCATCATCGTATCGATTTATTATTATCCTCAAAGTAGTATCTTCGCAAGAACCTTCCCTTTCCACATCTCGCAAGATAAGTCGTTCTTGCTCGTGAATTTACTGTCGCCGCAAGCTACGGAGGCCCTACTTCCTAACTCACTAAGCACAGGAATTCCTTAAAGTCCGTGTAATTTTTTCCCTAAGGCGCCCGCGCGTAAAAGTTATATTACTTAAAGTTTCCGCGAGTTATACGCACATTGTGCAAAGTGGACCTTGCGACTCGTCCTCACGATATGCAAGCTGGAGAGGTCTCGCTGCCACTCCAAAGCATTTAGCAACCGTGAGTTTCAGGATACGTTTATAATTAGCATACTAATACTCGAGGGTGTTTCACGCGCATACATCTTCCGCCGCCATTGCCCTTATGTTAGTAACTGGCGTCGATAATATATCTCTCCGGATACATACGTCATCATCGTCATCTTCGTCGATCCTTAATGGGACGGAGCGGGCGGTCGGTCGACCTCTCGCGACCCCCTCAATTTCCTATCTCCTACTTCGATACGTGTGTAACGCGGCGCACTTACGCACCCGCAGCCGCGTATATATCACGCCTCCCACGAAATTGAACTCTGTCTTTGACGGGGCGTACATCGTTCCGCTCGCTTCATGAATATTGATCGGCGGCCGTTAATACGCGGAATTGATTGCGGAACGTCCGCCACGCCGCGCCGCGCTGATCCTGAACTCATCAATTCGATCTGTGTCGATTACAGCTACCGGAATTATCTCCAGCGACTACCATTGTCCGCGATTATACTCTTGTGAGTTCTTCTCTTGTGAGTAACGTTTCTTTGTACGAATTATTTTTATACTCCGCGAAAAGTGTATAGAATTGCGAACAAAGATTTATCTAGTCCATCAGCACTTTCTCTTGATACATCGATTTAATTTAATTTCGAATTATTTTTACATTTCTGTAAAAATATCTCGTACCGTGATAAAAGACGTCTATCTTGATGTTTTTATCTTGGTTGGTCAATATATCTATCAGTATTCTATTTTACGCCAGCGTGTAATACAATTTAGAAGAAGCGCATAGGCTATGTCTTATAGAGTATGATTACAAAGGGGGCGATTAATGAATGACGCTGCCGAGATCCTACGCGACTATTTCCGATATTTCTTGTTCTTATCTCAGCCACGCTAGGCATTGATCAATCGACAATCCATAGCGCGCTTACGTTTTCCAACAATTCCTACCTTCAGACGATCAATCGTACTGCACGTCAACTACTTACAGAAAATAAATCTGAAACGCGTCGGCGCAGATTTATTGCTGACGATTTATCGCTCCGAAAAATCATTCGTCACGCGACCGTACAATGTAATGAAAAACGGCCATCGGGTCGGGGAGTGGTAGCGTGCAGTGTGCGGGCGATTCCTCCGAAAATACAACGAATTAGGGCTATAATTCGGCCCCAAAGCCTACCACTACACTACCTACGGCTGTCCGCGGGCTCGTGGAATCTCCTGGAAAGAGAAGCATCCCCCGCGCACGCGGAGATTAACAGCAGATGCCACTTAATGAACCTGAACGTGGCCACTAACTCCTCTCATCGTGGACACGCGTCCTGAACAACAATTAACGCGGTTACACGAGGGACGAGACTCTGTCTATACAACTCAATGAGTTTTCCTGTTTCACTCCTCTCACCTCTCCTACCTCTCTCTCTACCCCGTTCCCGTGTGACATTAATCTGGGCTATATATCCACGAATTCAAAGGGCCATCGAAACTTTTCAATAATTCCGTGCGACCGGGCAAAAAGCTCGGCTATGGGAAGTTGGGTCGTTGGTTGCCGGCAACCGGATAGAGCTTTCGCAGTAGTGCGGCGCCCGTTGGTCTCTCACGTTGGTCGAACATAGATGAGCGAATATGCGGAGAAAGGAGAGAAACGAGGGGTGTTCGAGAGGATGGACGTAGGGCAAAAGGAGGAGGCGTATCGCGGTGAAAACTCGGGTGCTCGAAACGAGAGCAGCGCCGTTGAAAATCCCGACCGTAACCAGTCAGATTCAATCTGCATAATGGAGAAAGCTCGAGACAATGTTTGCACGGGGCTCTCCGCGCGTGCAATGTTTCCTCCTGCCCCTCCCTCTTTCTCTCTCTCTCTCTCTTTCTCTCTCCCCTGAACCGTTAAATCGTATCTCTCTTGCTCTTCCTCTCTTTTCCATCCCCGAGACCAGCGAACTCGCTGCGGATTGATTCGGGGTTCGGGTGGAACCAAAGAGCTTGTTAATGGGTTCATTTGGATTCGATCATCGCCTTATCTTTCCCATCCACCGATGGTAACGTCTCCCTCGCTCGTCTGCGTTTTATCTCGTCTTCCCTGATTTACTCGTCCTCGTACCCGCCTCGTTCCAATCTTTACTCTATCGAGTCGTTACTGAACAGTCTTCTCATCCGCCATCGCTTACGCAAAGAATGGAATAAGGAGGAAAGAAGGACCGAGTCACCAGTAAGCGATGGCGGAAGGTTAGATGGTAGTTAAAAATGTTAATTGGAAAATTAATTTGACGTACTTATTTGTTAAGATTGCATAAGAGCGTGAAAAATAAAAAGGAAAGTAGCTTCAGAATTCATGAGGACGAATATGAAGACGAATTAAAAATAAATATTTAAATATATTATAATAATACATTTTTTTGCATTCTTAAAGATATTTAAATTTTGAAATGCAATTCACGTTTATCTTTGTATTCACATCAAGTATTCGATGTACGCATTTGTATATATTAAGTTCTTTTTTTTATAATACACTTCTCAAACTTTCATATTTTCACAATCACGCGATAAAGTCTTATTGGAAAAAAGTCTCGATTTATATGTGGTGATTCAATATGTCGATTATTATTCTTCTTGCCTTTTAATGCCATCTGTCAGATTAGTTTATTCCCACTCGTTCCATAGTACCGATTACGTCGTCGTCTTTCAATTGCAGAATAAAGAACATCTCCAGTCTGCCATTCATCTTTCTCCCTGCCTACCATCCAGAATCGAGTGAAAAAGGGAAAACTTTTGTCCGACGAGTTTTTCAGCACTTTTCTAAACGACGTGGCCTTCGTTAAGACATTTTTAATCAGCGGAAGAAGAGCTTCGAAAAGACGGAAGCGGTGAGGAGAGAAAGGATTTTCGCGGAATTGCTGATCTTTCTATTTCAACGGCTGCAACAACGCTTTACCTCCTGACCTTATTAAGAAAACCGCTGTTCGCATCCTCCTCCATCTAGGAATAGAAGAGATGGGAAAAGGTAGACGCGAGGAGAGAAAGGTGTGCTGAAGTCGTGCGGATCTCGGAAGGCGATTTCCGCGATTTCTCTTATATCATTTTTTATGTCTTTTTTGCATCCTCAACGCGGCGATTATCACCTTGAGGATGCGTCCTCGAGTATCGCGTTCCTCGAGGTCCCCGAGATGATGGCGGCAGCTTGATGAGATTTTCATAGAAACGCCGGTTGATTATTCGGATGCAAGATGCGCTCGCGCGAATTCGCGCGATTGCGAATTCATATGGTGATGCAACCGTCGGCGCGATATAACTTTGGAACCGCACGCGGAGATTTTCTCGAATATTAAAGTTTTCGCGCCGAAAATGAAGTTTGGACGGCGCGGTCGGGCGGATGCAAATAAAATCAGCCGCCGCGAGATGAGTTCCTTTATCCTGAAGAAATGGCTGCGACCAAAAGAAAGTGTCAAGCTACAACGTACGATCTTACATTGTCACATTACACTTCGCGATGTAGACGACATTTGAAAACAATATTTTTTATACAATTGTATAATAATAAAATTGCTATTCAATAGTTTTCCTCAGAAAAGAAGATTCAAGTTTTCTTGAATAAAATAAGATGGAAAAATTCATAATATTATATAATGAGGGCATGATATAAAGTTTAATTTTTATTTAATAATCAGATATATCGGATATTAATTACGCATTCACTTAATTTTAATTATTTTATTCAGCCTGGGATTTGAAATGCATTATATATGGCTTGATTCTGCTTTATGATCGTTATTCTTAAAATATATATAGTAAAATTACAAGATAAAACGTTATTCGAATATTTTAGAGCGTTAAGCTCATTTCTTATTAAGCTCTTAGCTTTATTCGCATAAATACGTAAACAAAAGCTTCTTCAAGCGTTGTCCTTATCAAATATTTACCTTTTTGAAGTAACCACCGTGGAGTCGCATATGGCCATTAAGGGCCGGTATGTTTTTAAATTTTCGATGGCACAGATTGCACTCCACCGGTTTCGGTTCCGTTTGGGTCTTGTTGGAAGTAGTGACCGTTCCGGGGGAAGACGAATTACCGGGAGATGGACTGCCCTTCCCTACATTTCCGCTTCCCGGCGAGCCGACCTGCTGTTGTTGCTGTTGCTGCTGCGCCTGCTGCTGCGCTTGCTGCTGTTGTTGCTGTAAGCGAGAAATAAATCCTCTCTTAATATATAAAGAAAGATTTAAGAAAATATTGAAACATTTACAACTACAGGGTGTCTGAAATATCTTGAAATATGTCCGCGTCAAATGTTTAAAAAACATTTATATTATTTTAACCTTTAATTGCCGTCTCACAGACACGGCGGAGGTGTAGATTCTTTCAATAAAATGAATGATAAATAAAGATTTAAGTAAAAAAAAATGTCACGTTAATGTTTTTTTAAACATAAAGTCATATCTATTAAACAACAAAGCAACAAAAATATAATAAAAGTGACTACTTAAAGAAAACAAGGCCTTTTAAACTGTCGGTGCTAGTTAGACTCGACGACAATGTTAGTATATGACAAAGGAGCCATGACGCCATGACGGTAGTTAAAAGGTTAAATCATAATTACTATTACTTAATATTAAATAATAAATGATTTAAAGGGATGCAACAGATGTCGCATATAATTGCTGATGTACTCAATCCTGTATTTCTACAGAAGAAGAGAGAATAGCGTTTATAAAATATTCGCAACGTAACGACCTCATTATTTCCGACGGTGGCACATAACGAGTAAAGACTAGAATAAGCGTAAGACCGAGAATAATTGAACAAAGGGAGAATTTCCTTTATGGTAGCTTCTTCCTTTATGGCGCACCCTACATCTGGCTTAATGCTGCTCTTCTCTTGAAGTCGCAGAAGATTTTTAATGGCAACGCACGAAGCTTTTCGCTTTCCGGTGTTTCTCCATTTCGCTCTCGTCAAGGACCGTTTCGCATTTCGAGGGGGGGGGGGGGGAGGGGGCAGACGAAATTCCATCTTAAGGGGGAGGGGAACGATAGTGTAGCACGCGTAACATTAATACGACTATGTAGCACGCGAAAGTTGCCGCTCTCTGCCCGCCGGTTAAGCCCTCTCGAGAGCCGAGAACCGTTCCTCTTCCATCTCCTTCGAAGCCTTGTATAAACTCCACAACTTCGTAAGCGCGTAAGAGGGAATAGAGATGGGAGAATTGCTAACTACAGATCGGAGAACGTTGCACGCCCGCTGCACAATTTGCATCGCTTCCAGGCGATACGACGATCGTCCGGGGACGCGAGATACGGCGCGCGCGAAGCCTCGACTTCTGTATTATAACATATTATAACTTCGCTTTTGTATTTTAGAGCTAGATCTTAACACTCTCCTCTAAACGTTGTGCATGGTGCTCTAGATTTTGCGGCAATAAGAACGGGTTGATTTCTAGGAACAATGGGATGCTTTTCAATAATCTTGCTTTCAAATGTATTTATTATAAATAGCTTTTTTTACCTATAATTAATTTTTTCACACCAAAATGCTGTCTTTATAAATGGAGAGTTTAAATTCTTTTTACAATTACTACTTAAGTTTCATCTTAAAAGCATAATAAACGAAACGTTTAGAATAAAATTCATATATTCAGACGCAAGAGTGCATTCACATTTCGGCATAAGCTTATTCCCGGTTTTTAAAAAATATAATATTATATATCTTTTTATAAACTTTGCATTCTACACTCTCGCTAATAAAAGAAAGAATTGTTTAAAAAATTAAAAATTCTCGATGTAGATTTATGAAGATCAACTTGATCAGTTTGTAATATATTTGTGTCACAAATGTCAAATTAATTTCTAGGATCCTTCCATTAAACTACATATCTTAAAACTAGTTTTTTAAGTCCCTCGGCAGAAATGCAACTATAAATATACCGATCTTAGAGGCTCGGGATTGCATTGCATGCACATTCTCTCTCTCGTTTTCGCTCGCCAGGATAGCATGCGCTCCCTTCACGCGAGTTTACTTCTACTACGCCTCCTTTTGCGGCGTGCAAAACTCCTGTCGTATAAGTTCGAGAATTGCTGCGAGAAGAGCGAAGTTGCTTCCTCTTCCATCAAGCCTCCCGGAAGGATCGGGAATTCTAAGCTTAGTCGTAAGTACATATTCGATGCTGCCGCGAGGCATGTCTGGATAAGAGCTTTGGAAATTTAATAACTGCGTAAGTAGATCCAATACTCGATATCCTGCGGAAGGAACTTAAAAGGTCACGCGTTTAAAGCGCGGAAGTAATACAGCTAATATTTAAAACGCTTTGTGCATAATATGGATAATATTGTGATACTTGCCGCCTTATATTTGACATTAAAATCACATTTGCCGATATACATTGATTTGAGCCAATCTGCCAAGATCTTTCAAGATGTTCGTTCACGTCCAAATCGTTTTGCTCATTTTGATCTGCAAATGAAGCTACACGTATCTGTCACACACGTGAATCGTACGTGAGAGACATTTGGCAGTACGAAAGAACAAGAAGCTACATATATACACATACATGTGCGCGACTAGTCTTCATATCTGACCCTTCTCCATTTCTCACCCTTCTTTGCTTAATAATAACGGAACGTTATTCGCTCTTAACTACCTATCTACCTTTTCTTGCTCTAGGAAGTAAAAGCGATTTGCTATCTCATTTGCTTCCTAGAGGAAGTCTTCTAACTTGAATCTACTGGCGCCATTAAAAATTCAGAGATGGGTTTTATCAACTTACACTATTGAATTATAGTTTTTGAACTCAACGCGATCGATATGCTATTTTTTCTAGAGATGTTATCTTTATACAGATATTCTTATGCGGAATTTGTTATAAAAGAGAAAAAAAAAGCGTAAGTTTTCATATAAAATTATAAAATACTTTATAAAGAGAAGCTTTTCATATCTTTTATAAATCTTTGTAGTAAATATCGCGAGCTTAATATATATATATATCACTCAACAGCCTTTTATCATTTAGAGAAAAAGGAACGTATTTCCAGCCAATGAACAAACGTATTTTGTGAAAGAAAGAACGACAAAGGTGGAGAGGAGCGTGAAAGAATAGCAGCTGGGTGTCTTCATAAAGGCAGATCACCCATAGCACGAACCGCGTAATTACATGAAAAAGAAAATACAAAGCGAGATGGTAATCAAAGAACGCTCTGTGGTCGTTTTCATTGGGCATGCTTTTTGCGTGATATTGTTGATGTACGCGTGCATTCCGTTGTTCAGTCGAGGAAAAACATCGTGAATATGAAAAAGCTTTTGACACGCGTAAATGGGTATATAGCTTTGCGGATGAGAGCACCGGATGATCGACGTTGCAATACGATCGCCATGGGGGAAATACGATCAATCCATATATTAGTTATTTAACAACTTTGACAGATTCTACGCATGTTGTTTCTATCTGAGAAATTTTACGAAAATAAATTTCACTGCGTTATTAAAGTCTACGTTTCTTTTATTAGCAGCATAATATAAATGCTGAAGCGTAATTCTTAAAGCATAATAATATATCGCCATTGAACTGGATTTAAAGCGTTAAGGATTAATATTTAATCCTCAACACTGACAGACTTAGTGCATTAAGCTTCAAATAGCAAGCTTTAGCTTCGGTGAGCTTAAAGAAATACGAACGCGTAATCATTGACGTTTACTAGCACTTCACTTGGTTTCGATTATTTACCTTTCTTTCGTTTATTGCGTTAAAATACATAATTCATTATGATTCGGTATTCGCGGTTCGTCCGAGGCAGCCTCCGCGAACGAGTTTAACTTAAAAGTAGGCTTTTCCATGGAAAGCATCCGATAAAATTGGTTTAATTCGCGCGTCGACGAGTACGATTATATTCTCCTCTAGTCGGTATTTTGCGCTCGTCATCGTTCGAAGTATGCCATTGATAGATCACGAGATAGCTATCGATCCTCTGTCGCCAGCAATGTCGCCTACCATGATCACCTTTCACGATATCGGAGTAGTCGATCGCGGTAGATATCTCATCAATTTCTGCAAACAATCTTCGATCCCAACAAGAGCCTGAAAAACTTTCGCGCTTTTCATGTTAAGGCAATATGTCCGTTTGCCGAGATCACTTTCCGATCGCAAACAAAATTCGTATACAATTTCCACGATAGAAACGAGAATTTACAGATTAAAATTGTAAAATACTTTTTTATATAGAATTAAAGATTTGTTTTGAAATAACATCGATCAATATTAAACTCATCGTATTTTTCACTTGTCTCGATAGAATAGGCATTGATTAAATTCCGCATTTATAATTACATTCGGATCTCTTTTATTCACTTTTTACATTCGCAGCACGAATTCAAAAGGCAATACATAACGATAAATGACGTGTAAAAATATCCGTGGTTTCGCTTCTTCTTGATTTTCCACATTTTCATCGAATAGCGTGACTCAATTACTTCGGGATTAATGCGGAATACGTGATGAAAATTCAAAAGACGCTTTACGTGGCAAATCCGCGATCACGACGTGTTCCTTTTGCATTCGCCATTAGCGTTGCTTCGATAGTTTAGCCGACGGAGACGCAATTGTCTTAAGAAGTGCGAGGAGCGTCATTCCTCCTCCTTCCACTTCGAGAGACATCGTAGTGCCATTTCCCTCGGCAACGACTTAACCCGTTCAAGTATGGCCGGAGTAAAATTACGGCCCGTTTCCGGGCCGGTGGTCCGCATAGCAAGCGGAAATTCGGTGATTCCATCGTCTTCGAGAGCCAGTTTAAATGTGACGTTTGAGACTTGACGCGAGGAAGATATAGTGATAAAGAATTTATTATCAATTGATTACATACTGCAATTGAGTTATACAAAAATGTATGAAGGAAATAATGAGTAAAATTAAACGTCGAATTAAAGATATAGTGGTATAAAAAAAAATTAATAATAAGTAAAAACACACAGCAATATTATGATCGAAAATATTAATTGCGTGTCTATATATAGAACATTAAGTTATATCGATAATATAAATCAAGTAGAATATAATTTTTGCAATTACATGAGAGTTTAAACTAAGTAAAGAATGATATACTTATATATTGAAGAAAATCGAGAACAAGTATTTATACAAGGGCGAGAGAGAAGTGATCCAAGTGCCGCTGAATTGCATGGATGGATTGTTACT